AAAAAAAAAAAAAAATCTTTAAAAAAAAAAAAAGATTAGATGCAGCAGGAATGTTTGTACCATTTTATGATGCTCCACAGCAATAGCACTAGATTAATTATTAAAAAAAAAAAAAAAAAAGGCGAGGTGGGTGTGCCTGGGTGTCTCAGGGTTGAGTTGGTTGAGTATTCAACTCTTGATCTTAGCTCAGGTCTTGATTTCAGCTCAGGTCTTGATCTGGGGGTCATGGGTTCAGGCCCACCATGGAGCCTACTTAAACACACACACCACACATACCACACACACATACACACACACAGAAAACTTAATAGCATACATTTGTATAATTTATAGCACAGAGAGAAATAAGCAACATTTTATTTTTAATAATATGAAATGAGTTCCCTTTATTTTCAAATGTCATTTTAACAAGACTGAAATTAAATTCATTTAATGTTATAATAAATATTACTGTTATTGCTAAAATAACCCCTTAGATCTTATACCTATCTCAGTAGTGTTTGTAACAACTGATATTCATTACAGTCTGCAGTTGAGAGATTATTACGTTAGTTGTTTTCATCTGCCTGCCCAAAACTTCAATATAAGAGATGATTAATGTTATGACCCATATTGAGCATTAGAACAAAAAAGAAATTGGGTTTAACTACATAGAAGTAATGCTATTTGAGTACAGCAGGAGACTCTTCTCACTAGAGACCTTTCAAAATAAGCCCCTTGCCAGTCAGCTCCTCCACGTAGAGCAGTCAATTATCAGTTTTATCTTGGCTACCGGAAGGTAGAAAGAAGACCAAGTAATCTCAGAAGGCTTTCTCCACATCTGCTGTCTACGGTTATAAGTATATATGCCTTGTTTGCCTCTGTGTTTAACCTCAGCAGCTAAGAATAGCACACTTTCAATTAAGAGCCTTGCAAGAGTATCAGGACAGCTAAGAACCCAAGCACTGGGCATCAGTGTAGTTACACTAAGAGATATCATTATGCTTTGGATGGATGCCCATTAAGACATACAGGGATCTGATTTTCAACATCCTTTTTTTTCTGATTTATGGTCTTATTTCAAGAATGCTTTTTTCTTTTTTTTTAGTTGATCTTTTTTTTTGATTTGGTGGTTTTTAGTTGATCTTTAATTGACAGTTATTCAGATTTTGAGTTTCTTTCCTTAACGCCTAAATTCTAAGTGTCTTCGTGGACCACTGTCCATTACTTTTCAGTCCCTGAACAGATTTAGACACCTGCAGGGAGCTGTTGTTCTTCCTTTGAAAAAACAGGTAGTTACTACCTGTGAAAATGATAAAACATTTTTTAAAATAAATTTATAGTACATCCATTTTGTAAATCCTATTTTTGGTTCTGTTGATATCCAGACAACCTGTGTGGATTTGCTCTGTTACTTAAAGATTCAAGTTCAAATTCAAATATGATATTTCTTTGAATACATTTTCTCTTCATGGCATATTATCTCTGGAGACGTTCCTCAGGCACCAGTATCCTCAGTGTCCTTCTTGTGAGGAATGAGACACTGAGTGTTCACTGTCCACATGTATCATTCCCATATTCATTCATTCCTTTAGTCGTTCATCCTGTAATTTCTTGTGAAATTCATGTCTCACAAGGTTAGCAGGTGTTGGTTTTAAGGCCTAGAAGTAAACCCTAAATCTGACTAAAGTCTAGTAAGTGATCTCTAGGAGGCACAGTACAGGTGTTAGGATGGGCCGTTATTTGAACCATCCTTGACTTCACTTTATCTTATACACGCCACATCTAATCTGTTGAAAATCCTACTGGGTGTATTTTAAAAAACATGTAGGGATCCTGGCTGTTTCTCTACCTTCACCACCTCCACTCTGGTCTGAGCCACCATCATCTCCCACCCGGAGTGATGCTGTCACCTCCTAAGCAGTCTCCCTCCTTCTGCTTTTGCTCCTCTACAATCTGTTCCCAGCCTAGCCGGGGGGATTCTGCCAAAAATAAGTGCGATCATGTCACTCTTCCATTCCTAGACTTCCTGTAGTAAATCAGAGTAAAAGCAAAAATCCTCACAAGGGCCTGCAGTCTGATACCCATGACCTTGAGAGAGGTGAGAACCTCCTGAGCTCTGTCTCCTCCATCCCTGGCTTACACTGTTCCACATGCTGGCCTCCTTGCCATTCTCTGAATCATCCAGGCACATCCTGGCTCTTCCCTACGTGGAGTGTTCTTCCTCCAGACGTTCACACGGCGCGCTCCCTCTGCTCTGATGCTACCCTTCTCAATCATCCATCCCCCTCCCTGCTGCCCAGTCATCTCCCCACCCAGCTGTCTTCTTCGTAGCATGAATCATCTTTTAGAATGTGTTACTGTCACTTCATTACTAATTAATTTGCTTATCTCTTACATTTTTTGCTCACAGTCTATCTTCGACTACTAGAGTGTAAACTCAACAAGGAGTTTTGGTTTCTTTCCTTGCTTGTTTTTGCCTACATCTGTTTTATTCTCTGCTGGATGCCCAGCCCCAGGAAGAGTGTCTGGAATATAATAGATGTTTAAAAAGTTTTTGTTGAGTGAACATGCTCATACCTTTACCCTCTGAGGAAGACAGCCAAGCAGCATGTCACTGTGATTTGCAGAGTTAAAACACTGGGTAAAGAACCAGGGGTGCAAAGTAATAGTAATGAAATGGAAGGCCAGAACCCTGAGCTCCAAATCCTTCTTCAGAGTTTTGGGCCTTTGGCAAGATACTTCATCTCTGGAGTTAGACCAGTTTATATACATTACAAAAGCAAACAGAAAACAAGCCCAGTATTACATTGCAGTGATCACTGTTCTTAGAAAGTATTTTCTCAAATTAAGTTTACTTCCTTCCAGTCGAGGCGTGTAGATATAGTCACGCTTTGAAGTAGCCAGTGTGAAATATACTGGCCAGCACTGGCCTCGGGATGACTTTTTCTTTCCGGGGTAACCTTCAGAACATTCTACCAAAACTTCACATTCTCACCCCACTCCCAGCTTTCAGATTCCAGCCTTGCCGTTCTCGGACTGTTTCTTCTCATCAGTCATCTGTCATGTTAAATTCTTATGTAATCTCAGAAGGAGCCTCAGTAGGGCCCAAGGTCACAATAAACAGTTCTGTCTTTGTAATGAGCTCTTTGGGAACCAGTATGTTAGTTGATATTTTCATTAATGACTTAGAAGACTTCTGTCAGACCATTTATTCTACTAAGGTCTGCCTTGGTTGAGTGAAGTGTTAATAGATCTGCCTCTCTGCTTGGCCTTGCTTGATCAGAGGACTGTCATAGCACAAACAAGTGAGACCAGAGCAAATGTTCCCCGAAAAACAAGAACATTTCTCCTATCTGACACTGAACTTGTCTTCACTTGGAAATTTACACTGGAGTGTCTTTTCCTTCCTAGTTTATGACAGTGGGATGTTTCCTTACTGAAACTTAGGAAACTTTTGCAAATAATTATTACTCAAAGTTGTATAAGATGGCCCTAGTTCTTACAGATTAAAAGGGTTTTCAGGCTTGTTGTATTTTTAGAGAAAAGAGGGAAATCTTAAACAGCTATTAAACTATATCAGCCTTTATTTAGTAAACTGTTTATAGAATTTGGAGTGGTATTGATTTGCTAGGGCTGCCATGACAAAGAACCATAAACCAGTAGCTTAAACAGCAGATACGTATTGTCCTCCTAGTTCTGGAGTCTGGAAATCTAAAGAAGGCAAGAAGTCAAGGTGTTGGCAGGGTAGCTTCCTTCTGAGGATGGAGGAAAAGGATCTGTTCCAGACCTGCCCCCTTGGCTTATAGATGGTGTTCTATCTTTGTCTTCACATCATCTTCCCTCTATATGTGTCTGTCTCTGTGTCCACATTTCCTCTTGTTATCAGGACATCAGTCATCATGGATCACCCTACTCCAGTATGATCTCATCCTAACCAATTACTGCAGTAACCGTTTCCAAATAAGTCACATGCTGAGGTTATTGGGGGTTAGGACTTCAGTGTATGAATTTGGGACAGACACAATCAACTCAAAACAGTACATTGCTGTCAAAGTTTCTGATGTGCTCTGAGGCAGAGAGCAAACGTGTGTTTTACTGTTTTTTTTTTCTTTTTGTGTAAAATGGAAAAACTGAAAGAGAAACGAATTAATTTTTTTGAGGTGGTGGGATACCCCCAAACCTGAAAATTTTACAAAAAGACTATTCCTTTGTTCTGTCCACTAAACCAGACATCCATCTTCTTCAGAGCTGTATCTTTAAACCTCAAAGTTTTCTATTCTGTGGAAGCACAGAATTTTAATCTCAGAAGAGACCCAGAGAGAGGAAGGATGTTGCTCACAGTTACCCACCTAGTAGTAGTAGAACCAGCCTAGTCTGCCATTCTTCACACCATGTTTGCCACCTTCATCTAATGTGTTCCCATCTACACTGTTGATTGCCCTTGTTAGTTACTACTCTTTTTCTGTATATGAAGAGTAATTGTGGCCACTCTAAAAATGAATGCTATTTATTCACTAATAAAGTGAATGTTATTTATTCTTTTCATTGTGGAAAGCTAATTAAAAAAAATGTTAGAGTGCAGCTGACACGTCTGCCTGAATTCCTTTGTTTATATCCACAAACAGCTGTGTGCATATTCTCTCTCATTCGAAAACCTGCCATAATGGGAACTGTATCTAAGGCACCCCTGAGTTTTCCAAATTCTTCTTGACTCATTGCCTAAGTCAGAGTCATCATGGGGAGATATGGGCGTCTTCCATTTTCCTGCAGGCCGATTTTTCAGATGACTGAGTTTTTAGTTTGCTTCCAGTCCACATTTGGTTATTGTCGGTAAGAAAGGTTCATTAGTCGGGAATGTTCACACACATGAGCTCCATCTGTGCCATTCTCGTGGTGTTGTGCAGAAGACAGCTGATAACTCAGCTTCGGCTATTTGCCACACCACTACATCTGATTGATTCATAATCTTCTTTGTCTTTTCTTCCCATTTTAGCAAATTGATGGAGAAGCCTTTCTGCTTATGACCCAAACAGACATTGTTAAAATTATGAGCATTAAGTTGGGCCCTGCTCTCAAAATTTTCAATTCTATCCTGATGTTCAAAGCTGCAGAGAAGAACTCTCACAATGAACTTTGAAGGTGGTGAATTTTGAATACCATCAGCTTTCTGCTTTAAAGCTCATGTTTTATTCAAAGCACAAGGACAGTTATAACTCCTACGTGAGAAGTCTCCAAAACTCAAAAGAGCGATGCTATCAGATTATTTATATTCCTCAAGAGACAATATATACGAATCCTTATGAAAGTCCTTCGGCTTTTAACCAAGTACTGTCTAACAGCGGTCATCCTTTGGTTCTGTTCACTGAGCTAAATTTATCTTTGTACATCTTTTTGAGGCTGGGGGGTGGGGGGGGAAGGGGACTTCGTTAATTATTTATGGTAAAAGGGGGGGTCAGAGTAAGAACTTTTGGCATTTTGTAAACATTGTTGAATTCTCTTTCATGCACACAATTTCTTTTTCAGTACTTTCAGAAACCTTTTTATATAATCCAACTTCAACTGAAACCAAATTAGTCAAAACCTGGCTCAGATTTGCCAGTGGGACTGTTACCTGTATTGTTCATTCTGTGCCATATTTTGAATTGCAACATTATGCTAAGTATAACTTTGCAAGTCATGATATTGCCTAACTGCTTGTCATAATTTGTTGGGGCTGAACGGTGGTAAGAATTACCTTTCTTTCAATCAGTGTTTTTACTTTTGCACGCATTATGAAATGTTAAACAAATTACTTTTCACCAGCATCTTTACTATAATTACCAAAAACATGTATATAAATAATGGAATTGAAAAATAAAATATATAAATAAATTAGGTGATGTATTTGAATGGCATCAATCTTATACATTGTGGTGCCGTATGTATTTACAGGAGTCCAGTGGTATCAAAGGAATATGCAGTTCTGTTGGGGGGGGGATGTTTGTAAGGATCTTGAACTATTTATGAGATGATCTTGAGCTTCTCTCTAATTGCCAATGAAGTCACTGTGATGCTTTTCAGAGCTGAAGGGGTCGTTCTGTTGATGGAAACACTAATCCATAAAGAGCTCTGTCCCAGATCTTCTTCCTCCAGACCCAAAGATTTTCTTCGGGTCGGCTGAAGAGAGAGTATATGGATTTTACTGAAAAGGTAGGGTGTGAGGGGGCAATAGCAGTCAACACAAAGATTCTAAATGCTCACAGATCAAGGGGGCAGCTTCCCAAAGCAATTATTCAAGAACCTCCATTTTGGAAAGATTCCTTTCTCTGTAGAACGGTTCACCTAAGTTTTATAAATGTACAGATGCACTTTAAATGAAAGCCCTTGATTACCTAGAAACTGCTAGCACTAGTGTTTCTTTTCCAAGAATGCCTTTCCAACACAAAAGGTAATTATTTTATCAGCCTTTGGATGTAATGTCTACTTCTAGGATGGACCATTTGTTCGAGGGCTATTATAAGAGTAGGAAATAAGTTTGTAGCATGCTGTCTGAATTCTGGGGCAAGTTCCACCTCTCTCCTTAGTTGCCCTTATTTTTTCTGATGTAGGACTTCCTTTGATGTCCCCCATTGGGAGTCTGTTAGCAGACCTTTGCATTTGTCATAATTCAAAAGGGCCGTAGCATCTGCAATGTCCCTTTCATTTCTTGCATGAATCTGCTTAAATAAGTTTTTCGTTGTTGGGGTTTTTTTTTCTTTTATGTTCTGTTCAGAATTTGTACATTCAAGTTGCACTTGTTATATCTGACATGAATGAAATAAAATCTTAATTGCAGATACTTTTTTTACATATGTATGATTTTTTTTTTTAGAAAGCTTGTCAAACAGGCAAATGAGAGCAGGAACAATGTCAAAGGTTTGGGCATTACCTCGCTATGTAATGAATCTGCAGAATTCAAAATTGTCCAACTGTGTCCCAGGTGATGCGAAGAACAACAATAAATAAGTAAGTAAATAAGTAGAGACATTTTAAAAAAATTACATTGTGTAAGCCAAATGGGACCTGTCTGCAGGTTGGAATATAACCACAGGCTGCCATTTTGCAACTTCTAGATTCAGTAGACGCAGACTCCAAAGTAAATAGAGTTATGTTAGTCGACAGGAGTATTTACCAAGTGGCAGGGCCATGCTGGGCACTGGGGACAGATGCACCGTGGAAGAGATAATAAAGCTTAAGTGAATTTGCCCTCATGGTCACGTCTGCCATGTTTAGAGCCAAACCTCACTGCAAGGTTCCTGCAGCTCCACCCCAATCTCTTCCCCAGCCTATGGGAACAAAGAGAGGCTTTCATTGACCTTTAGCCACAGAGGCTGTGGACTTCCTAAGGAAAGGAATCTGTAAGAATTTGGTAAATTCATTTGGGAGAGGAAGAATAAGACAAATTGTGGAACTAAAAAAAATTGGGGTGGGGAAGTGAAAGTTTGTAAGGAACTAAAGGCACATTCTAGTGAAAGGGAAGAAACAGAAACCATGGAATTAGGGACTAGTTTAGCTGACATTGACATGTACTGAATTGGTACTCTGCCTGTCCATTCTCACCAAAACAGTTAGTATTGAATAGTCATTGTAGAGGTGGGCAGCTGATCGAAATTTCATTTTCTAGCTCACTAACTTAAGCATTTTAAAGAATAGTACTTATAGAGAAAAAGGCATTAGAATAAGTATTTCTAGAGATGTATGTCATACAAATATTTTTCAGTAATTCATAGGAACCACTTTCTTCTTAAACTTCAAAAAAATTAATATGATGAAGTTACCCCCAAAATCCTCCTGGCACTGTGATGGAAGTATTAGCACACTTAAGTCTCTTCAGTCTCTAAACCAATCTGTTCTGTCAAAACTGATAGGTTCTGTTGAAACTGTGATGATGATTATCAAGGAGTACCTCAAAACTAATGTTGTCAGGTATCCTTATTAAATACTTGAAAAGAGTGCACTGAGTCTTGTCAGACCCAAGAAGTCCTTATGTACCATCTTTAGGAACAGAACAAATGGAATTACAACATGGGACTCTGAGCTGGGTGGATGAGGAACCAGAACCTGGACTTCAGAGATAGGCAGGAGAACAAGTCTAGGAAGGGGCCAAGCCAAAAACTAGAAACTGGTGCCCAAAAAGCTCTGGGAGGAAAAAGCCAGGTCCACATTACAGACCGAACAAACCTGAGCAGCAGCTAGGGCACATGCCAACACCAGATGTCAAAGCCAGGGAAAAGTAGAAAATGGTGTGAGGAGACGAGAATGGGGCCATTACTGTATGCCAAGGGAGGGAAGCAGTGAAAGACTCCACAGGTCACAGATGACCAGAACCTGTACGAGCAAGATCAGCCAGCAGTGAGGAGACCTCAGGAATGAAGCAGCCTTTGTTCTCAACAAATAAGGTTGAAGGAAACCAAAATGCCTGGGACCAGGCAGATCAGCTGGGGGAAAGAGAACTGGGGAGTATGTGCATCTTCTTAAAATGTTCAAGACCAAAATGTTTCTAAGCCATATTCAGACCAACGAGGCAGCCCACAGTCCACAAATGTACAGCTCCTGGGCATTAAGTCTTACGAGGGTGGGTATATTGGGCCAAGTGTAAGGTGTGATACCCTAATCAAAGGATTTGAGTGTATCTGAAGTGTAAGGTCTTTCAAAAACTAAAGCACCCTTGAAATTGAAGCTTGGGGGGCGCCTGGGTGACACAGTCAGTTAAGCGCCCAACTCTTGGTTTCAGCTCAAGTCAGGATCGCAGGATGATGAGATCAAGTCCTGCACTGGGCTCCACGTTCAGCGCAGGGTCTGCTTGAGATTCTCTTTCCTTCTACCTCTGCCCCTCCCACGTGTGTACATGCTCTCTCTCTTCTCTCTCTCTCTCAAAATAAATGAATCTTTAAAAAAAAAAAGTGTAGCTTAGACCATTGAATTTCTTAGAACTCAAACAGCTCTTTAACATAGTATTTTATTACAGAATTTCACAATTTTCAGTATCTAAGCATAAAGATAGAAGGTACTGAAATTGATTTGCATCTTTGAGACAAGATGATTTTCTAATACCTACCTCTACTACAATGCTAAGTCAAAACAATTTTTTTAATAAAATTTTAGCTGTCCCAGAGATCATCAATTCTGATGCAATATTTGGCATGCTACTAAGTAACTGGGTGTTGAAATCCTACTTCCTTTAACTTTTCTTTCATAGAAGGAAAATAGGGACTGTGCATATCAAAAATCAGCGTCTCTAGGAAGTTGAGGGTTTGGGACAGTCTTCTTGGACACTCAACTCCAAATACATGGAAGGCAGCTATGAGAGCAGCCAAGGCCGTAACACAGTCGTCTACCCTTGTGAGCTTCTCTTTTTCTAAATACAAAGAAAATTCGCAGACATCAACGTTGAAAGGATTCTTGACTTCTAACACGGGTGTGGAAACTTGCACCTGAAACAATAGATAATAGAGTCACCACTCTGTGATGTGGATAATAGCCAAATAATATAAGCTGCCTCAATTTAATCGTGATATTACAGTAAATGAGCTTGGTGTAGTGCAGCATATTTGTAAATATGACAAAACCATTCTTCAAAAGAGACCACCACCCTGTTTTCAAATAAATTCTATGAAGATGTAATGTCAAACTCAATGTCAAAGCCAGTGGTCACTGACATACTGCATACCTTCTCATTCACAATGACAAAAAGGCTGGGATCATCCCCAAAAACATCTGGTAGGAGCAAACATGTGGCTGTCATCTTCATATCTGCCAAAACAAACATGCTTAAAGTCCAAGGAAAAATAAGATTTTGCCAACTATTAGCAAAAGCCAGTCTTAAAATGTGGGTTTTTTTTTTTTAAAACATTTGCATCTATAAAGAATAAACCAGTCTTCTTGTATCAGTGTTTCACAACCGTTTAACCAAACATTTGCCTTCTAATAAACATCCAGATCTCATGTTCTGCCCTCCAGGTCATGGCCAGGAGAAGATCAGAGTCCTGTACTCTCTGTCCATCAGCCAGGAAGATTTTAGCATGCTTTACCTTGTGATTTGTATTATGACATTAACAGGTAACTAGTTCCCTAAATATAATTTTACAGTATCAAGTGTACTTTTAATTCTATACCTCAGCTCGTCCTATTTGAGAACATTTTTTCATCCTGCATGTTGTTTCACTGAATTACTTATTTCCAATACAGAGCTTTTCTAATTATCCCGACTTACACAGATAACTAAGACCAGATTGCCCCACCCCCAGGTTTACTAACGTTTCAACATGTCTTCATTTGTGTGCTGTTTCATTTTTTCTTGCAATGCAATATTGATTGGATTATCCACCACTGAAAAAGAAGTCAGTATATTTTCTGAATAGGATTCCAGAATGTGCTTTGTTTTCTTATAAATATCTGTTCTCGTAAGAAGTTGGAATTCTCTGAACATCTAGGAAAAAGAAGAAAAAGACCGCAAGAAAAGCTAATGTATAAAATGTAAGGGAGTAAATAACTCTTTAGGATTATATTAAGCTTTGAATGCTAGATTGTTTGTTTATTTATTTATTCTGGTTTTTTTCCTATTTTTATCTATTTTTTATTATGTTAGTCACCATACAGTAGTACATCATTAGTTTTTGATGTAATACTCCATGATTCATTGTTTGTGTGTAACACCCAGTGTTCCATGCAGTACGTGCCCTCTTTAATACCCATCACCAGGCTAACCCATCCCCCAACCCCCTCCCTTCTGAAACCCTGTTTGTTTCCCAGAGTCCATAGTCCCTCATGGTTCATATCCCCCTCTGATTTTCCCCCCTTCATTTTTCCCTTCCTTCTCCTAATGTCCTCCATGCTGTTCCTTATGTTCCACAAATAAGTGAAACCATATGATAATTGACTTTCTCTGCTTGACTTATTTCACTTAGCATAATCCCCTCCAGTTCCATCCATGTCAATGCAAATGGTGGGTATTCATCGTTTCTGATGGCTGAGTAATAGTCCACTGTATATATGGACCACATCTTCTTTATCCACTCATCTGTTGAAGGGCATCTCGGCTCCTTCCACAGTTTGGCTATTGTGGACATTGCTACTATGAACATTGGGGTTCATGTGGCCCTTCTTTCCACTACGTCTGTATCTTTGGGGTAAATACCCAGGAGTGCAATTGCTGGGTCATAGGGTAGCTCTATTTTTAACTTTTTGAGGAACCTCCACACTGTTTTCCAAAGTGGCTGTACCAACTTGCATTCCCACCAGTAGTGTAAGAGTGTTCCCCTTTCTCCACATCCTCTTCAACATTTGTTGTTTCTTGCCTTGTCAATTTTTGCCATTCTAACTGGTGTAAGGTGGTATCTCAATGTGGTTTTGATTTAAATTTCTCTGAGGGCTAATCATGTTGAACATTTTTTCATGTGTTTGTTAGCCATTCATGGATCTTCTTTGGACAAGTGTCTGTTCATGTCTTCTGCCCATTTTTTGACTTGATTATTTGTTTTTTTGGGTGTTGAGTTTGAGAAGTTCTTTATAGATCTTGGATACCAGCCCTTTATCTGTAGTGTCATTTGGAAATACCTTCTCCCATTCCGTGGCTTGCCTCTTCATTTTGTTGACTGTTTCCTTTGCTGTGCCAAAGCTTTTTATCTTGACGAAGTCCCAAAAGTTCATTTTTGCTTTTGTTGACCTTGCCTTTGGAGACATGTCTTGAAAGAAGTTGCTGTGGCCAGTGTCAAAGAGGTTACTGCCTATGTTGTCCTCTAAGATTTTTGATGGATTCCTGTCTCACGTTGAGGTCTTTCATCCACTTAGAGTTTATCTTTGTGTATGGTGTAAGAGAATGGTTAAGTGTCATTCTTCTGTATATAGCTGTCCAATTTTCCCACCACCATTTATTGAAAAGACTGTCTTTTTTCCATTGCATATTTTTTCCTGCTTTGTTGAAGATTAGTTGACCAGAGAGTTGAGGGTCCATATATGGGCTCTCTATTCTGTTCCATTGATCTATGTGTCTGTTTTTGTGCCAGTAGCATGCTGTCTTGGTGATCACAGCTTTGTAATTAGCTTGAAATCAAGCAACGTGATGCCCCCAGCTTTGTTTTTCTTTTTCAACATTTCCTTGGTGATTCAGGGTCTTTTCTGGTTCCATACAAATTTTAGGATTGTTTGTTGCAGCACTTTGAAAAATGCCATTGGTATTTTGATCGAGATGGCGTTGAAAGTATAGATTGTTCTGGGCAGCATAGACATTTTAACAATGTTTATTCTTCTGATCCATGACCATGGAATGTTTTTCCATCTTTGTGTGTCTTCTTCAATTTCTTTCATAAGTGTTCTGTAGTTTCTAGAGTGTAGATCCGTTACCTCTTTGGTTAGGTTTATTCCAAGATATCTTATGATTTTTGGTGCAATTGTAAATGGAATTGATTCCTTAATTCCTCTTTCTACAGTTACATTGTTAGTGTATAGGAAAGCAACTGATTTCTGTGCACCGACTTTGTATCCTGCCACATTACTGAATAGCCGTATGACTTCTAGTAATTTGGGGGTGGAGTCTTCTGGGTTTTCCACATAAAGTATCATGAATGCTAGTTTAAAATATGTATGAGTAGCTTTAGTGGAGAAGTAAAGACTTAAAGACAGAGGAGGAAAAAAGAATGAAAGCCTGAAATGAATAGGATAAATAAGATAAATAATGGACATAGCAAACTTATATACCCATATAAATAAAACTTTGCATGCAGACTCAACTAAATGAGGGTTCCTATATATATATATATGCATGCATATTTTGGCTATTTGGTTACCAGCCAAGATTCTAGGACCTCGTATTTCTTTAGGCAATGTGCAACAAGGGGCAAAATAAGAAAACAGATTTTAGGAAGCAAACCTTTAAAAATACCTAACCATAGCATTCTAAAGGGAAAGAGGAGAGCTTTAGAGACAAAACTAAGTGGTGAGAAACAAAGGTAGGAGATCTGACTACAAAGTAAAAGCAAAACCAGTTTACGTGTATGGGAACCCCTTTACTCAAAACCACCTTTTCCTGCCACTGCCCAAGTTCTCCCCCTCTGTGAATTCCATCACCACTGCAGCCTCCCCACTTTTTTTTTAATTAAACATTTTTAAAATTTAAATTCAATTAATTAACACATAATGTATTACTGGTTTCAGGGGTACAGGTCTGTGATTCACAGTCTTATACCCAGTGCTCATTACATTACATGCCCTCCTTAATGTCCATCACCCAGTTACTCCATCCCCCCACCCTCCTCCCCTCCAGCAACCCTCAGTTTCCTATAATTAAGAGTCTCTTATGGTTTGTCTCCCTCTCTGTTTTCATCTTGTTTTATTTTTTCCTCTCTTCCCCAATGATCCTGTTTTGTTTCTTAAATTCCAAATATCAGTAAGATCATATAATTGTCTTTCACTGATTGACTTATTTTGCTTAGCATAATACCCTCTAGTTCCATCCATGTTGTTGCAAGTGGCAAGATTTCATTTTTTAATGGCTGCGTAATATTCCATTGTATGTATGTACCACATCTTCTTTATCCATTCATCCATCAGTGGACATCTGGGCTCTTTCCATAGTTTGGCTATTGTGGACATTACTGCTATAAACATTAGGGTGCAGGTGCCCCTTTCGATCACTACATTTGTATCTTTGGGGTAAATACCCAGTAGTACAGTTGCTGGATCATAGGCTAACTCTATTTTTAACTTTTTGAGGAACCTCCATACTGTTTTCCCAGAGTGGCTGCACTAGTTTGCATCCCCACCAACAGTGTAGGAGGGTTCCTCTTCCTCTACATCCTCGCCAACATCTGTTATTTCCTGACTTCTTCATTTTAGCCATTCTGACTAGTGTGAGGTGGTATTTCATTGTGGTTTTGATTTGTATTTCCCTGATGTCGAGTGATGTTGAACATTTTTTCATGTGTCTATTGGCCATTTGGATGACTTCTTTGGAAAAAGGTCTGTTCATGTCTTCTGCCCCTTTCTTGATTGGATTATTTGTTTTTTGGGTATTGAGTTTGATAAATTCTTTACAGATTTTGGATATTAGCCCTTTATCTGATATGTCATTTGAAAGATCTTTTCCCATTCTTTCGGTTGTCTTTTGGTTTTGTTGACTATTTCCTTTGCTGTGCAAAAGGAAGTTCCAATAGTTCATTTTTGCCTTTGTTTCCCTTGCCTTTCTCCCCACTTTTTTTTGACAGAGTGGCATTATAAGACAATTTATTATCACTCATACTGGTAGGAATCAAAGTAATCATCACTTTCCCTAAAACTCTGTAAAGAACAGTTGCATACTACCCACTGGGTCTCATCGTTTCTTGAACATTTTGGTAGATCATCAGTTGCCCAAAGATTAGGTCCAAAAGTAGTTATCAGAAAACTGGAACGCACATTCTCATAAAGGCATGGCAGCTTTCTTACTAGGCAACCTTCAGTGGACCACTAATCTAGGATCATGGGGAACATGGTAAGACCAGTGAATTCCATGTATCATCACTGTGGGGCATCTCAACAAAGAAATGGGATGGATATATATATGTGTGTGTATATCTGTATACACACACACCAAATTGAAATTCAATTTGAAAGTAACATTTACTGAAATGAAAACATCACTGAATAGGGAATTGCATATGGGAAATACAAAGAAAAATTTCATGAACTTGAAGATAGAGCAATAGAAGTTAATCTGAATAACAACAACAACAAAAAAAGACAATTAAGATTAGTAACCTGTGGGACAAAACCTGGAGTGTGGAGAGAGGAGCTTTTCTGTGGCTGATCATTCAGAATGGCTAGGAGTTTGGCTGTATGGGGTTTGGGGAAGGTGGCACAAATAAGTAAATACATTGAGGATAATGGGTGCCAGGTTTCTTGCTGGTAAAGAGAGTTGGAATGTATGGAAATGGGGTCAGTTAGAATAAGCCCTCTGGTTTGGGTTGGAATTGAAGGTATAAATGTGACCTCATGGTTTTTAATACTTATGCATGGATATATGAACAGATACAGATTGTGTGTGTGTATGTGTGTGTGTGTGCGCACACGCACACCTATACAAAGATATATCCTGGCTTTATTCTGTGAGAAATTGTAGAGTAATAACACCTCTGTAGCAATGAGCATACCTAGGGCTAAAATCTTAGTCTCTAAATATCGTTCTCATTTTCTGTTTAAAGAATGTGTTTTGAGGGGAGGAGGGTGATGAGTACAGGTGGTGATGAAGGATCCATGTAGACTCTTTGGTACAGTGTCCCAAACTGGCTCCTTCTTTTCTTCCACACCTGTGCCCACAAGCTCCCTAGGCTCATAGGGCTTCACAATGGTAGTAGCAATAAGTGGTGGGAGTAGTTTCGAGTAGGGGCAGCTGTCCTGCTATAGGGATTGGTTGTTAGCTGGGTGTTTGTAAGTAAGGTCGAGCTTGCTTTTATTTTGGGAAGCACAACAAGGGTTTTATAAATTGTAAATCCCAGCTGGCTGTACCAGGCTTAGTTACAGAGGTACTTCCTGAAGAAAGCTAAAACGTTCAATTCTTTTGTTTAAAATAGATAGACTACTTTAGTCAGTAAGTAGCACCGTCATTACAAAAACCATATCCCAATCCGTATTTTGGATATAAAGGGTGAAATGCCTTGGGGAATTGGACAAAAAGAGACTTAAGACAAAGCATGAGAGACACACTGTTAGGTCTAAAATCTGCTCTCCACCCCCCACTCAGACTTATTCTCATCTATGGTTCTTTGAAAGGCTGCTGAACCATAGCTTATCTATTTTAATCACTAAACCTGTGCAGGCTACACTCCCATGAAGACCCCTAAGGCTGCAACATCAGTGTCCAGACAGCCTTACCAACTGCTATGGACTGAATGTTTATGTCCCCCCAAAATTCATATGTTAAACCTAATGCTCAATGTGATGGTATTACAAAAGAGACCCCAAACAGCTACATTGCCCCTTCAGCCATGTGAAGTGACAGCTAGAGAGCACCATTCATGAACCAAAAAGCAGACTGTCATACCAAATCTGCCAGTGTCTTGATCTTGGACTTCCCCACCCCCAGAACCGTTGAGGAATAAATTTCTGTTGTTTATAAGCCACACAGTCTATGGTATTTTTGTTATAGCAGTCCAGACAAAGACACCAACCATTCACCAACTCATTCAGCATTCAAAAAAATCAACATTCCGTTTGTATTGCATGCACAATATTCTGCAAGGCCCTTGGAGAACTACTAACATGTTTAAAATATGCTCCTTACACTTACGGAGTTTATAGGCTATCAGTTTGACAAGGTTTTGCTTTAAAACAATATATTGTAGGTGTGTCAATTTGGCATACTCTTCTTCTAATAGCCAAAGCCTCCTGGCTATAGCTGTTCCTAGCAACCCAAATATGAAGAGAAAGCAACGAACAACTAAGGTAGTGTTGCTGAGAGATGAGTATATAAAATAATCCACGTGAAGCACTCAAAATATGCTTCCTACATAGTAAGCAGATGTTTGTTATAGACATGATTTTGAAAATGAAATATACAGGCAAGTTCTTTTTTCATTTGTTGGAGGAAGAATAACATGGAAAACTTTAAATTTTTAAAAATTTTTTTAAAGATTTTATTCATTTGAGACAGAGAGATACAGAAAGAGCATGAGCAGGAAGAGATGCAAAGGGAGTGGGAGAAGCAGGCTCCCTGCTGAGCCAGGAGCCCAATGTGGGGCTTGATCCCAGGACCATGGGATCATGACCTGAGTTGAAAGCAGATGTTTAACCACCTAAGCCACCCAGGCGCCCAACATGTAAAACTTTTTATTTTCAAAATAGTTGATTGCAAACACAGAATTCTTCCATGAAATGTGTTCTCAGGTAAAAACTTTGATGAATCTTTCATTATGTGCTACAACTAACATTACACTAAAATTGTAATAGGAACCCTTTAATGGCCACCTTAAGTAAACTAAATTGAAGGGTATTTGATTTACCTATTAAACTTCATATATTCCAAGACCACTTTATGAAGTAATTTGGGATCATAAAGGAAATAGATTTTGAGTAATGCCGCATACTAAGAGTTCCTTAGTAAACTATCTTGATTGTCTAAATGCATGCAAAGGGAAAATGTTTCATACTGTCAAAATACCCCTAAGTAGTGGTCCCCCCCAGCCTCCCCAATATGTTCAATGACAGGGAAATCTTTAAATCTGAAGGCAGGCAGTGCATGTTATTAGAATATGCTTCCAGAAATTCTTACCAAATGGTCCTAGTTGTAGCCTGTGGAGCCTCACACATCCTACTGAGATTCACACCCACCATTTGCTACCTAGTGCTGTTACACTCCAAAGGAAAAGAAAAAAAAATCAATTTGGACATTAAAATCAGAGAATATTATAAGCAAATAAAGATACCTGATAAGGGCACTTCAAGAAAGGAAACATTTTAAGAATGTCCTTCAGAGGTGTTCTGCCAATCAACTTTCTTCTTATTTCCAAAGTCTGACTCATCCTCTTATCAATTTCTTTCCAGTCCTTTTCTGTTTTCATATATTCTTGCTGGAACCAGATAATGTGTTCATCTGCCTCAGAATCTAAACAAACAGTTTCTTCCTGCAAAATATTTTTGAAATATCAATATGTTTCATTTTTCAAGTTGCAGTTTAATACTTCGTGAGAACTTGAATCACAGGCTGTTATTGCAGACTCTTAATGCACTCCTAAGGTGAGTGTTACCACGTGTGATTACACCTGGCCTTGACTGTGGTTAACAAATGGACAGTCTTTAACAAATCAGATAGTTCATTACTTACTATCATTACTTATAATCTGTTCTCTTGACAGATGCAAGAGTTACTTCAAATTCTACATACTCTGTTGGTGGAAACCTAGATTATCTAGAAGGTTCACACTTAACAGGAATGTTTTTTATTTCTACTCATTTAAATATTAAAAGAGATAAAGAGGGCGCCTGGGTGGTTCAGGTGGTTGGGCGTCTGCCTTCGGCTCGGGTTGTGGTCCCAGGGTCCTGGGATCGAGTCCCGCATCAGGCTCCCTGCTCCTTGGGAGCCTGCTTCTCCCTCTGCTTCTCTCTCTCTCTCTCTCTCATGAATAAATAAATAAAATCTTTAAAAAAAAGATTTAAAAGAGATAAAGAGGTTTTAAATTAAGGTTTTGTCATTTCTACTCTTTATATTTTTCCTTTTTAAATGCCTTTGTGTAGCTGCACTACTATGCCATAAAATCCAAATGCAAAATAATAACAGTGGGTATTTTGTGATACTAAATCATCAAACTGTCAATTATATTTACTATAAATTTGAGTACATTGGGTGGGGTTGGATGGCTAGGAAATATCTCACATACCCTTTCTAAAAAACCAAGACACTCAGTTTGAGGAGCAAAAAAAAAAGTTTCTAGAAAAATTTGTTGAGGGGCAGTCAGACAACAAAAAGAAATAAAAGGCATCCAAATCGGCAAAGAAGTCAAACTTTCACTACTGCAGATGACATGATACTCTATGCAGAAAATCTGAAAGACTCCACCAGAAATTTGCTAGAACTAATATATGAGTTCAGCAAAGTCACAGGATATAAAATCAACATAGAGAAATCTGTTGCATTTCTATATACCAATAATGAAGCAGCAGAAAAAGAAATCAGGGAATCAGTCCCATTTGCAGTTGCACCAAGAACAATAAGATACTAGGAATAAACATAATCAAAGAGGTAAAAGATCTGTACTCTGAAACCTTAGAACACTTATGAAGGAAATTGAAGAGCATACAAAGAAATGGAAAAACAGTCCACGATCATAGATTGGAAGAACAAACATTGTTAAACTGCCTATACTACCCAAAGCAATCTATACATTTAATGCAATCCTTATCAAAATACCACCAGCATTTTTCACAGAACTAGAACAAACAATCCTAAAATTTGTAAGAACAAACAATCCTGAAAAAGAAAACCAAAGCTGGAGGCATCATGATTCTGGATTTCAAGCTATATTACAAGGCTGTAGTCATCAAGACAGTATGGTATTGACACAAAAACAGACAAATAGATAAATGGGGCAGAATAGAAAACCCAGAAATGGACCCACAACTATATGGTCAACTAATTTTTAACAATGTGGGAAAGAATATCCAATGGAAAAAAGATGGTCCTTCAACAAATGGTATTGGGAAAACTGGACAGCAACATGCAGAAGAATGAAACTGGACCACTTTCTTACACCATACACAAAAGTAAATTCAAAATGGATGAAAGATCTAAATGTGAGAGAGGAAACTATCAAAATCCAAGAGGACAACATAGGCAGCAACCTCTTTGACCTATGCCATAGCAACTTCTTACTAGACACGTTGCCGGAGTCAAGGGAAACACAAGCAAAAATGAACTATTGGGACTTCATCAAGATTAAAAAAAATTTCTGTACAGTGAAGGAAACAATCAACAAAACTAAAAGGCAGCTTACACAATGGGAGAAGATACTTGCAAATGACATATCTGATAAAGGATTAGTATCCAAAATCTATAAAGAACTTACCAAACTCAACACCCAAAAAACAAATAACCCAGTTAAGAAATGGGCAGAAGACATGAATAGACACTTTTACAAAGAAGACATCCAGATGGCTAACAGACACATGAAAAGATGCTCAACATCACTCATCATAAAGGAAATACTTTTCATACTGAAATCTGATTTTTTTTTTAATTTTATTTTAGAGAACATGAGCAGAGGGAATGGCAGAGGGAGAGGCAGAGAGAGAAAGGGAGAGAAACAGACTCCCCGCTGAACTGGGAGCCCGATGCAGGGCTCGATCCCACAACCCCAAGATCATGACCTGAGCCAAAATCAAGAGTTGGATGCTCAACAGACGAGCCACCCAGGCACCCCTGAAATCTGAATTTTAGGGCCACTGTGATAGATTTAGACCCAAAAGAAATAGGTTTTGAGAATTTTGACATATTAACAGTTCTATAATTAACCTGGATTATCTAAATATGTGTAAATATCATATACTGCATTATCCAATTAAAGTTCTTTTAAATGACCACATTTGAAATAATGCAGAAAAAAATCTGTATAAAATTCAACATCCCTTTAAAATTAAAGAAAAAATCTTTCATCAAAATAAAAGGAGGAATTTCTGAAACTTATAAAGTTATCTACCAAAAACTTAGAGCTAACATTTTTAATGTTGAAATTTTAAAAGAATTTTTCTTAAAATGAGAAACAAGAAAATGATGCTCTGCTATACTCTTATTCAGCCTTTTACTAGAGATCCTAGCCAGAGTAGTAAGATAAGAAAGAGAAACAAAAGGAATGAAAATTGGAAAGACAGAAACTGTTCATAGATGATGATGTGATTTGATTATTTAAGAGAAAACTCAAAATGATGTACATATAATTTATTAGAGTTTGTGAGAGAGTTTTACAAAGCAACTGAATATAAGATAAATATACAAATTTGCTAACAAACAGAATATGTAATTTTTTACAGTTTCAACAAAAAGTGTAAAGCACCTGGGACTATAACTAATAAAAGATGTGTAAGACCTTTATGGAGAAAATTATAAAATTATTAGAAAATACTAACAAGACAAATTAATAGATAGACCTACCATGTTCTCTGTTAGAAAAACTCAGTATCGTAAGGAAGTCACCTTTCTCCAAATAGAGATATAGATTCAATAATATTTTTATCAAAATCTAAAATCTACCAAAACCCAAAAATTAATGTTTTAAGAAATCAACAAGCTGATTCTGAAATTCTCATGAAAGATTAAAAAGCCCAAGAATAACCAAGGCACTTTAAAAAATAACAGGTAGTGATGGAAACTGGAAACTATCAAGACATTTTACAACTATGTAGAGAAGGAAAGTTGATATTCATGCAGGGATAGATAACATTACTAGGGCAACACGGTAGAGCTTCTAGACACAGATCTCTGGAAAGAACAGAGATGATATCACAAATGCCTGGGAAAGAGGACTGTTTTATAAAAGGTACAGAAAACTGTCTATCCATATGGGAAAAAAAAGAAGAAAACAGATCTATACCACACACCTTATACAAAAGTAAGTTACATGTGGCTTAAGAACTTAAATGTTAAGGCAGAACTTTAAATTTTAAAAATGTATATAAATAATTCTTATCATTTCAAGGTAGGAAAGAAGTTCCTAAAAGTACTAATCATAAGAGAAATGATTAACAAATCTAACTACATTAAAATTACGAACTTTTGGTCAAAAGATTTCATTAAAAAAATTCAAAAGTTAAGGCACCAACTAGGAGAGATATTTACAATGATACAACTGGTGGAGTAGAATACAGAATATATAAAGAATTCTTATAAATAAATAAGAAAAAGGGCAACCTCAGAAAAATAGGTAAAAGACATGATGGCATTTTACAGTGAGGGAAACTTGAGTATTTCATAAGCATGAAAGATGATAAACCTCATAAATGATTAAAATGAAAATAGGAACAAGTAGCATTTTACTCCCAACCCATTGGTATTTTACTTGGGATGGGAGGGAGTTATCTTGATATCTGATCTAAATGGTATCTTACTTGGGGGTGTGACAGGAAGAAGTCTGATAAAAGGAGCTGTTCAGTGAGTTTAAATATCTATAACCACCAGGAGAACTGGCATTGTCTTATACAGGTGAATATTTGCATACCCATGGTACCAGCAATTCCACTTCTACGCGGATCTGCTTGGAAAAAGCTTGCACATTTACACCAAGCTAGACAAGAAGAACAATCACAGTGGCACAGCTCATAGAAACAAAACCTGGAAACCAGGCAAATGTCTGTCAATAGAAGAATATCCAAATAAACTGTGTTTTGCTGTCACAGTAGATTTTTAAGCCAATATAAAAATGAATGAACGACACAACTGAACTGAGCCTGGGTGAATCCCAGAGACAATATATTAAGTGAGAAAAAGGAAGTCATCGATGACATACTCTGTATCATTGCATAAGCTGCAAAAACAAGCAAAACTAAATAAGATACCTTGCACATGTGGCAAATTCATATCTTTCAAAAACAGGTGGATGAGAAACAAAGTTCAGAGTACAGGGCAGTGGTGTTAGAAAAGCAGGTGATGGGAGAGGAGAGAAAGATGGACGGACACGAAGGTATGGACTGTTCCGATTTTAAAGCTGAATGTTGGGCTCGCGGTGTTTATTTTGTCTCATAAATTATACATATGTACATTCTTTCATAAGTCTCAAATGTATATAATGAGAAGTTTTTTTAAAAAGGGAAAAATTCTAATTTTTAAAAAGGAAAGGGAAAATTTGTAATTATAAGCAGCTTTCATTTTATGTACTGTAGTGGGAGTTCTATAACTGGTAATATTGAGATTTGTAGACAAGTGTACACATAATGAACGCCTTCCCCTGACACCCCCACCCAATTCATAAAATGTCCCAGAAAGTAGAGTTTCTGGAAAGCTTCTACCTGATTGGACTAACATAATGTGAGAAGTTGTATCCTAGACTGAAGTACCATATTCAAAGGAATAGCGGGCTGCATCAGAATTTAGAATTCTCACCTTTTAATGATTCATGTACCATTAGAGCCAGAAGGA